AAACACCACCCACCCCCCCCACCACCCCCCCCCCCCAACCCCCCCCCACCCCCCCCCCCCCCCCCCCCCCCCCCCCACCCTGTCCTCATTGGAAATCAGAGAAGAATTCTCGGGTCTCATTGGTGAAATTGGATTATCAAAAAGAATTGATGGTCGCGGATCAAAATTTTTCAGAAAGAGAAGGTCATATTAATTTTATAATTTTAAAATAGAACTCAAATTATTTCGTTTATGAGATGATAGATGGATGGTATACTCACTTTGAATAGAATCGCACATAATGATGATTTGGATATTAAAGAATATCCCAATTATAGCCAAAAATTTAAAAAATATTGATTCGATTTTAAAAATTTTTAAAACAATTGACAGTATTAAATTTGATTTGAAAAAAATGGTACTCGTGCCTCTTGTTAATAGAAATTGATGGGAATTCATAATATTGTAATCAAACACTTATATTCATCTTTTAAGTGGTTAATTAAAAAGTGCATATCTAGGATGGCAATAAATAATTACTATTATTCTTAATAATTTTTATTCTTGTTTATTTTTTTAAAAAAAAACCCTCAGGAAATAAATCGACTATATAATGTAAACTGTCTTACTCATGTTTAAATGTTTATATTTGCAAGTTGTAATGTAAAATCATTCTTCATTAAATAAATAAATTATAAAATTCATTCATTAAAAAAAAATTATAACTGTGCAAAAAAAAAAAAAATCACAATTGTAGAATGGTTAAAATGAAATGAATGCACGTTTCCCTAGAATCCCCACCCTCCACAAAGTGATTACGTAAAGGTAAAGAATTCTTCGGCATCAATCCCAACGTTTATCACATCATCCTGATGAGCAAAATCATACATGTTGCTAAAATACGAAGGAACGGACATGTCACTATTAAACATCGATTGATCTGCGATGTACTTTATATCATCATAATCATACTGTGTTGGGACTAAATCAATTTGACTCTGACGTTCTAATGATATTTGTCGTATTTGATTCTCATAATAATTCAATGGAGGGTTATCGGTATCCGTATTCATGTTTGCGTTGGATTCGTTGGATTCGTTAACTATATGATCGAAATCCATTCGAGAACCTTTTACTTTTGGATGAATTGGAACAACTTGTTCCATTTCGTTTGATGAAGATGAAGTGGATTGTTGATGGGGAAACAGCGAAGATCGACTTTGTTCCGGTACGTGTTGTACCATAAATTGTGATTCCGTGGCACGTTGAATCATATCATTTTGTTCTTTTGATCTTTTTGAAGAAGGAACTATTGGTGTTGGGATAACTGAAGATTGTATTTTAGAATCTTTGTAAATCTGATTTGATGACATCGCATCTGAATCGTTTAGAAGTGAGGAAAGATTTTCCGTACATGTCTCTGCATTAGTTCTACGTTGTAGTCGTTGAGGTGACAAAAATTGAACGTTAGGCATAGGAGAGAACATTGTAAAAAGAAATATTGAAAATTTTTGATTAAGAAAAGTTTTTTTTTTTTTTTTATTGTCAAAACAAAAAAAAAAAAAATAAATTAAAATAAATTATTGAAAAATAGATTAATTTATAAATATTTCGATCATTATATCGATATACTACAATAATTTGATCCTCTTTACAAAAAAGTATCACATTGAGATTTTTATTTTTAAACATTATTCTCATACTTCAATTATTTGAAACACCAATGGCGATTTGATCTCGTGATCGGATCTTCGACGCTAGTACATTTTTGTAAACAATACAAGGTCTAAATTTTTTCAGAAAGGTCGAACAATAAGAGGAAATTTGTTTCATAGAATAACGATAACGACTCCGACGTTTCTTTCTGAAACCTTTTTTTTTTTTTTGAAGTAAATATTTCATTTGGGAATTTATAAAGGTAAAACCAAGTGTTTAAAAAAAGACAGGTTGTTGCAATTATGGGGTCTTTTTTTTTTTCACAACTTGTTTTTTATTTTTATTTTTATTTTCCTCAACGATTTCAGGAATAAAGTCAAATAAATATTTGTCATCCCTTCATTTTGTTTATTTATTTTTCAATAGACAAGGGATATTCATCATGATAAATATATATCCTTATATGAATTTATATATAAATACATGAAAATTTCTGGGAATAAGATTTACTACCTTTTCTATTCTATTTTTCCATTTTTCTATTACAACTTGCAATTTTTTTGGAACGGATATTCGGGTTATCAAATTTTTTTTTTTCACGGACACAAATTCACTCCCGTCACACAAAAAATAAACCATACTCACCATACTCACTTTACAAAAATGAAAGTTCGCAACATTTATATTAAGGATGAGGAGATAATAAAGTATAAACTTACGCCAAATGCCATTTCCGATAAAAATCTTCAAATCATACTACGTGATTTACGTCGATGGCAACAACTGTATAATAAGGAAAGTTCTGTGACAAAAGACATATGCGAAGAACTAATGAAAAAAGAAATAAAGAAGGAGACGAAAAAGAAGATCAAGAAACTTTACAAGTATCTGAAGGATTACAATCAATACATGGAGGTTCAGGAAGTTCGAATTCAATTAATGAATATGTTGAAATTTATTAAAAAAATCGACCGAGTACAAGATGACAATCCAATGTTCATTCCAACAACCTTTGATGGGGATGATAGGAGTTGTTTACATGAAGTTACCTTGGAATTCATGGATAAAGTTAATAAATACATTTGGAATAATAAATACGGACGAAAAGAGTTGAGCAGCAAAATGAATAATCAAGATTTACATCAATGCCGATTCATTTCGTTGATTTAGATCTTCTCGTACATTGTAAATTTCTTTGTGTAAATAATACGGATATCTTTCTTCTCGATATGCTGATCTGATTCGGTTTTACTGGTTTCAACCAAATCATTTTACATATTGTTTGTTTATAACCAACCCTTTTTTCTCAATTTAATCAATTTTTAAACTAGTCATTTGTTGACACCATTAATACTTAATTCCGACTTTAAATCTCTTGTTTCTATTAACAATAAATATCACAAATTTGTCATATGTAGTCTCAAAGCCTCATTTGTAGCCACCAGATTCGGCCCACTTCCAAAGAGGAAATGTATTGGAATTATCAGCTTAGCGGAACGATCTAATCAATAACACATGTTTTGGTAATCAAAAATACAATATTTTTCTTTAATGTAATAAATTTTAATGTAATGCAATTGTTTTAACAATAAACGGTTAAAGTTGATCTGAACCTTTATTGTAATCAATCCAAATTCCGAATTTAGTGAAAACAATGTAAAATTCCCTTTTCTCTGCGAACAAATACATGTATTTATCAAATTTGATGTGACGTGTAAATTAATTGAGACGAAGAATAATTCCTTCAAAAAACCATGCTTTATTTAATCGAGCGCAGAAAATTTATCTCCGAACCTAAAAGAAGTTAGAGTGCATTTAACCATGGCTTAGTTTAACGAAGCCTTACATGGCTGTGTCGACTTTTGCTGTGCGAGTTGTTGTTTTTCTTTCTCTGTATCATATCATAATCAAAATATAGATTTTAGATTGTTCAAAACATAGGTCAAATCCCTGACTATGAAATTTCTTTTTTAATTCTTTCAATAAATTTACCGGAAGTGGTAAAATCATTGCAACATTTTTAACTGTGTGGCTAATTTCAGAAGCCTAAAATCGGAGATCCATGAAACGTTTAAAAGTTCATTGACGTAGTAATCAACGAATATTATTTATTGGAAATTTTTTTTTTTATTACGGTAAAACTATATTTTATAGAATGAAATTTAATAATCAAAAAAGTATATGTATTCTTGTAATGAGATGATGTTTTAGGAATATTTGTTTTAAACTTTTTGGAAAAAAAAAAAAATCGAAAAACTTTTTGAATAAAAAGAATATATCCGTTATTTCTCGTTGATAAATTTCTAATGAAAAAGAATCATTCGATTTTTATTTTTTGGCATTGGGTGTATTTTTATATCTCCAAACAAAATGACTTGTCTTGATTTGAGGCTTAGTTATTTTTTTCCCAGTCTGTAAATTTCCCGATATTAAATCGTCAGACTCAATCAAGAGCATTACAGGAATTTTTTTTTTAATCTTCCCATTTGACAATCCTAGTTTAGTCTCAATTGAAATGTAATTTCACTATCAAATTACTTCATTTATATTAAACATTTAAAAGTATTTTTGCCTTCCCTTATTGTGTGAATATAAATGGGGCCAGTAGGCCAATTATAAAAAAAAACAAAAAAGCATTCAACTTTAAAAATATTTTTTTTGGGATATAATAATATAATAATATATAATGCATTTTTAACCAATCCAGTTAGCCGCCACCACCACCATCGAATAAATATTATGCCTAATCTTTTTAATTTAATCATACAAGACAAAGTGATTTTTATTATTCAAACATTAAAATTTTTCTTAATAATATAACATTATACTATACACAGCCACTAGGAATTATAAAAAGGGAAACCTCAGATCTTTTGAAAGAATTATTTTTTTTTTTTTTTTTTTTTTTATAGAAATTACTTTTTCACCTCTGTTTTTTATCTTTTTTTATTAAAAAAAAAAAAAAAAACATTTTGGCAAAAGGGGAGGAGGATAAATAAAATTAATTTTTTTCGATTTTGAAATAGTAAAACTTTTTAACTAAGGATCGATTAAGAAAATTTTTTTATTGTTTCATTGACTTCGAGTTATGTCAATTGTCGCACGCTGTTATAGCGAAGTTCACGAAAGCGGTCATTTGTCTGAACTATCCAAGGTGAGATTCTTATGATGTCAGGACCTTTGCTTATAATTCCGGCGCATAATAAAAGATATTGAAATTAAAGTAAAATAAAGTAAAAAAATGCTGTGCTTTTTTTAATCAAAGATCAAAGGGTCGTGTAAATATCCTTTTTTTTAACGTTGATTAATCACGTGACTTCATTTTTTCCCTTTTAACCCACAGCTATGTGTAAGACAGTTTAAGGACTCCCTCGAAAATATTTTTGAGGAGAGGACATCATCTCCATGGACAAAACGAAAAAAGAGATCGGAATTACAAGAAGAATTGGATCATTATGGAATTGTTCAATTCGTGAAGAGAGAAAGTTTTGCAGAAGAAAACGAGGTTCCGCCTACAACGGATGATGACAAACAAAAGAAAACCAAAACAAATAAGAAACTTAGTCTAAAAGAGTTATTCAAAGATCCTCCACAAGTAAAATTAAATGCTGATGGATGGCCGGATCAAAATGTTTATGATCCGTCTTTAGATAAAATGTTTTGGTGGCGTAATGATCCTGTATTAAATCAACATCACGAACATTGGCACATGGTTATGCCTTCTGGTACATACAAGGGAATTGCAAAGGATAGGGAAGGAGAAAATTTCATCTACATGCACAGGTTCATGTTGGCCAGGTAAGTTTGTCAAGGGAAAAGATGTTAAATCACGTGTCTCGTCATTAAATATATTACACATTAGATATGACGTGAATCGTTGGTGTCTTGGAATGGATCTTGTCGAACCATTGGTGGATTACACAACTCCGATACCTGAATCTTTCTATCCGCCCCCGTTCCTATCGCAGGAAGGCGGTGAAAGAAGGGTCCCTTTCCCCGCTCGCCCTCCCAATCAAGTATTTCGCGATATCGGTGAGTACCCGTCAACACTCTCGTTATTCTCGTTACGAATCTTTTTGATCTAATTTTTTTTAATTGTATAGTTACTAGGGTTGACAATACTGAAATTATATTAACCGTTGACGAATTAACCGATACGCTGAACGAAATTGAAAAATGGATTGATGGCAAGACAGATCTAATTCATCCATATAGATTAAACTTGACTGATGAAGAAGCGACGAAAGTTGGATCAGATATCGAGGTCGTTCTACACAATATTGGTCACAACATGCTTGGTTACATTATGCATCCTTATACAATTAATGGTATGACTTCTCATGTAAAATCTTTATTTTTTTTTTCACGAACATTCGCTAATTTATGATTTTCAAAGCTCCGCCAAGTGTTCTTGTCGGCGCTCGTGCCGGAACACGTGATCCGTTATTTTGGAGATGGCATCGTCATCTCGATAACATTTATCTCAAATGGCAGTTCCTATTAGGACCTCGTAATTTCAGTGACGATATTCCTCCTATAACTTTTCGAGAGAAAGATTTAATCCTTGCTTTTACCGATGAATTACTTAAGGTTAATAAGACGGGTTTGAATGATACATGGGTTAAGTACGCAAATGAGACCTTTGGTGGCGAGAATTTCGACAAGGATGTCTCTAATCTTCCCGTGGTCACCAAAACGTTGGAAACTAAGATGAAAATTAGAGATTATGTTTGGTTGGAAGATGGTCTGGATAAAGAAAGGATTCAATATTTATATCCAAGAGATTGGATATGGTTTATGCGCGTACAGAATAATTCTCCAATGGTTAGTTTTATGACCAACGTTTTTTTTTTTTTTTTAAAAAAAAAACCTTTACTGACTATGACGATGTATGATAGCCCGCAACTGTAACGTTTCGCATTTTTATTTGTCCAATTGAATTGGTCGACTCGACCGTTCATTGGATTGAAATTGATAAATTCAAAAGGACTATAGGGCCTAATGAAAAAACCGTTGTTTCTCAAAAATGTGATGAAGCGGTGGCAATTCGAAAACCAGCTCAAAAAACAACGGAACAAATGGACGACACTACACTTCCGACGTCGAAAAGATTACAGCTCGACAAACTTAACTTCGCTGAAGTAGCGGAAGAAATCTTTTGTGACTGTGGATGGCCATATAATTTAATCATACCTCGTGGAAGCAAATTAGGTTCAAAGTTTAAACTTTTTGTTTACGCTTCTGATGGTACAAATGATTTAGTTAGAACAGATACGCAATGCGGTAGCGTATTATTATGTGGTGGTCAAAAATGGACGGACAAAATCCCTGATATAAAACCTTTGGGTTATCCTTTTGATCGACCTTTTAAAGAAGGTTCGTTTTATAAAAATTTTGAAGGCATGCATAATGTTGCTATGACCGATATTACGATTAAATGGGTTGAAGATTTCCCAGAAGTATAGAAGAAAAAAAAAAGAAATCTTTACATATTATTTTCTTTTCTTTTTTTCTTTTCTTCTAATTTATTGTTTCAGAAAAAAAATCTTTGAAGGAAGGATAGGTAAACAACATATTGTATATAATTTTAATATAGTATTTTAATTGTTCATTATTCGACATTTGTTAAACAGTTACATAAATGGAATCCATAAATTTATTCGCGAAGAATAATTACTCAAACACAATGGTTTTACTATTTATAAACTTTAAATGAACGAAGGATTTTCACATTTGTAATTCGGATTGTAATGATTATTACAACAGTTACGCTCTATGAGATGCTGATTATTACAGGTTTGCTTATGAGATGCAGGTGGAATTATCAACTTCAACTTTTAATTGCATTACTTTAAAATAAATGATATTTCTTTCTTCTCATTAAATAATAATTACTTTTTCTGCTAATAAGCTTTGTTGCTTTGTCGGCAAAATATGAAACAAATAATTTATTAATACGTTAACCTAAAGATTTTTAAAATAGGTTAAATAATTTTTATTGTTTTAATTAGAAAAATTAAATATAAAATTAATAGATATTAATTTATTTAAAAAGATATATACTGTATATATATCATAAATTATAAATAATAAATAACAGTACATGTATATTAAATATTTATAAAAATTATACTTTTTATATTATAGTTGCTTGCAAACTAAAAAAAAGCATTAATTTCTTAACGTTAACTTTTAATGTTAATAATATTTAAAGATGATGTTGCAATTATAGAAATAATTATAAGATCCATCTTTAGTAAGATTATTATTATATAAAAATATAGTATAATAAATTTTTTATCAATTTTATTAATAAATAATTTAAGTTTATTAAAAAGTTTTTAAAATAATTCTTAAGTTTTAAAAAATTTATTTATATGCTTATGTTTAATTATTATTAAAAAAGATATAATTTTCTTAATAAATTATAAAAAATTACATTAATAATAGTTTATATTTTATAATATTAATAGTTTTAAATAATAATAAAATTTTATTAAAAAGGTTACAAATTTTCAGCTTTAAAACTTAGATTTTTTATTATATAATGAAAAGAATAAAAATTATAATAATTAAATTTGAATTATAATAAAAAATTATATGTAATAATTACTTATTGTGAAATTAGAGATATCATTAGAAATTATGAGAAAGCTGTGATCTATATGATATTAGCAATTAAGTGATAAATAACTAATATATTTCATAATTACTAATATCTATAATAAATAATTATATAATAATTGTATTATATATTATAAAGTTACATTTAACTAAATTATTCGTTAACAATTATTTTTTAAAAAAATTCTTTTCTTTCTTACAAAAATTAAAAATGAAATCAAATAATAACACATAATTTAATACTTCCTATAAACTTTTAAATAATTCATATTTACAACCTAAAGTATTTAAAATAATAAAATTAAAAAAAGCGATTTCATTTTATCAAAAAAAAATCACATTTAAAATATAGAAAAAGCAATAAAAAATTTAGCATATTATGAAAATTTTGAGAAAATATAATTGATTTTTCTCCATAAGAGGAGCAATATAAAATACAATTGTATCTTATTTCAAATATGAGATTATATCATTAGAAAAGAAGAAAATCTAAAAAAAATTAAATTTTTACTTTATATGTTAAATATGATTTTTTTAGTAAAATAAGTTCAGATTTAATATTAACTCATAAAAACTTTTTTTTTAGATTTCTTCTCTTTCTATTAATAAGTTCCCATATATCTATACTAGAAAATCAAGTAACATGATATATTGCTACTATTAAGGATACTATTCTAAACTATTAAAAATAGTTTTAATTAAACAAAACTAGTTTCTATAGTTTCAGTTATTAACTAGAATAGTTTTGATACTTAACTAAACTAGTTTAATTATTCTAAACGACAGAATTTTAGTTTCAGATAACAACACTAGCTACTATGAAAAAAAAGGATAAAACTGAATATAAAGTATTAATAATAGACAAGCTGTTGATAGAATTAATTAATATTTAATAGATTTTTAATTATTCATAGAATAAATTTACAAGATCATCATTAATTCTTATTTTAACAAGAGTTCTTAATGGTAAAATAAAATAATTTAAGATAATAAACTTGGTGAAGTAAAAGGATCTGCACCTTTTATTTAATAAAATATTACATATATCTTATCAAATTTCACAACTTTAATATTAATTTCAAATATTCTTATTAAAAGAATATTTTTTCACAATGCATTTTTATTAACTTATTAGAATAATAAACATTATCAAAGCATTAAAACAACAACAAAGATTAGTGTTTCAGATGAAACAATTTTCTCAAATCTGAAACTTTTGTAGTTTCACCTTATATCTCTAAAATTATCTGAAACCTTAATTTGGAAACACTTTATAGATTACTAATTAATAAAAATTAATTATATTTTTTCTTTATTAAGTACTAGAAAAAAAGTATATAAATGAATCTAATAACAATAAGTAAGATATACTAGAAATAATAACATTTTTTTTTAATAAAGTCAAATAAAAATAACATTTATTTTATAATTATTATAAAGTTTAATCATGCGAAATCGATATACACATATTGCAGCTCCTATAAAAAATTTCAATTATGTAGAAGATTTAGTTTCTGAATACTCTAATATTCAAGATTCATAATTAACAGATATAAATACAAATATTCAGAATGATTATATGGATTTTCTATATGATAAATCAGATCATTCTCAACATGATGATAACAATTTATCAAAAGAATCATTAGAAAATAATAATGATAATAAACTATTAAAAGATGAAGAAACTAATGATGAAGATGATGAAAAAATTGATGATGAATATGAAGAGGAAATAGATAACGAACATGAAGAGGAAATAGATAATGAATATGAAGAGAACATAGATGATAAAGATAATGATAAAGAAATTGATGATAAAGATAATAATAATAAATATAAAAATATTATAAATGAAGCATTAAATAAAGATCAAATGTTATCTTAAAATAATGATAATGAATTTGTTCCATACTTTACTATAGCATCAATATTCTGTTGGATGCAAAAGCATAATATTTCTACAAATGCTTATGAAGATCTTGTTGATATTATTTATAATCCTAAATTTGTTTTAACTCATGTAATAAAAAATATTCAAAGATTTCGTAAATTTAGATAACAGCTTTCTTTTCTTCCAATATTAGTAAATTCTATTTCTATTTCATCAAAAAAAACTTCATCAACTTCTAAAAATTCAAAAATAGCATATCAACTTTCAATAAATGATATTATTTGACATGTTCTTAATAATCTATCATTAATGAAACATATGTACTTTAGTCCAGCTATTAATTCTGAAATAAAGTCAAAATATTGTTATAGTACATTATTGGGAGAATCACCATTTTATGGTCAAGAAAAAATAATTATATTGTTATCTTACGATACTAATGACTGAAAATTAGTATTAACGCAAGATTAACAAAGGATTTAGTTTTAAGACTTTATAATACAATTTATAGAGAGCTTCTGAAGATTTATAATTCAAGAGTATTTTTAGAGACAAAGGTGATTATAGGTAAACGATAGAGTTTTATTAAATAGAATAATTATTGCAAGTGTATTTGTTAGCATACAAATGTATTTAATATTTATTTTGTTGACGATAGTACTAAAAGTAATTTTCTACTTAAAGTCAAATGTTATTGAAGTTCTAAAGCTACCTTATTTATAAGAAATTTAATAATATAAATAAAATAATAAAATATAAATAAAAATAAGAAATGTAATAATTGGTCTTTCATTAAATATCTGACATATATTACATATATGACAGATTTAGTCAATTTGACAGATCTGCCAGTTTTAGCAGATTGAATAGATTTTGAGGATCTGCCAATTTTAGCTGATTAGATCGATTTTGTGACAAATTAAAAATCATGTGATCTATAAAATATCTTTTTAGTTTATTACAATATCATATGGGAAGTTTGCTAGGAAAATGAGGTTCTGAGACATTTTTTAAAAAATTGAAATTTTTAATACATATTAATCTATAACTTATAAACTTTAATTGGTTAAAATTTTAT